CAGAAAACGGCAAGTAGAAAGGTCCGAACGTTCCCCATAGGCACGAAGGTCAAGTGGAAGGATCACCAGAATCCTGGAAGGAGTGGACTGGGGTCGCGGAAGCTGGGCAGTCGATTGCAAGAGCCGTTTGTCGTCACCGACCGCCGGGGGAACGTCTATACCTTTCAAGATGGTCGGGGATCGAAAGTAGTGAATGTGACGCAGCTTCGCAAGTGGCATGATACACTTGAAGAGCGGCCGAGGGACCCGCTGCTCCGGTTGCAAAAGTACGACTTCACAATCCGGCACGTGCCTGATTGGGGAGGCAGACGAGTAGTATGTGCTGTTCATAGAATTTCGCTTTGCGTCGATTAAAAAAGAGAATTTTGTTGGGAAATTCGTCGGGCCACTTTGTAACATTTACTTGGATTTGACCGACGAATGAGTGGTGGCAATGAATCTCTAGGAATTGTCGTTCGCGAGAGGATCTGTGTACAGTTTTTGTAACTAAGATGCAGATTAGAGTTTTGCTCCCCTGTTGAATGGTCTATAACCGGTTAGTTGGCACTTCCGAAGAAATAACTCCGCAGCGAACGCCTTCTTATTTTCATCAGTAGTACACTGATACGGCGCGTAAAATACTGGCGTTTGTGTGCAACCCAAATTCACCCAGTTAGGTACGCATTCTAACAAAATGTGTTTTCCAAACAGGAAGATCTGCTTTCGAGTGTCCGACTGGTTGTTTGGTTTGGATTTCTGGCGTTTAGGCTAAAATAGCAAGAATGTATTTTATTTTATAATTCCTCACATGTTGGCGATATGTGGGCACATGCGCTGCCCTGCTACAGTCTAAGTTACCCCGGAATATCATTGTAGGTAGGGTTTTTACGGTAATCTATGCTCATTTGCGGATAACCTCGATATTCTTATTCATGCCTGATCTAAACTCACCGATGACACCGTAGTAGGTAATATGTACAGGTAATACGTACGCACGAACCGCCGCATCGATCGATCGGTGCACTCGTCTCTCCAGGTCGGAAACAAGGCGGAGCTGGTCATTTGGCGACTGGATCGAGGTGAGTTTAAGCGGTCTGGTGGTGGTTGGTGGCTCACATATTCTGTACCCCAGTGTCCAGTTAGAAATCGCGTTGTATAACGATGAAGTTGCTTCGTTCAAAAAATCGCCCAGCTAATTAAGAAGGAACTCGGAGTGCATGTGTGAGAATATCCCTTTTACGAAGTCATGAAATTGTGCCTTCCTTTGGGAATAAATTGATTCAAACCTTGAACAGCGCACCATGCTTTGTGAGCTAAACTAGGACTACTGCTGTTGATTATGCTAATTTGAGTGATGAAAATTTGAAGTTCCTTCATTCGAAACACTCCACTGTCATGCCTGATTCCTTGATCTGAAACAACCGCAGAGTAGCTTGTTTTATAACCTTCCACCGAATGCACCGTTCCGTCACATCACGATGGCATATGGATTTACCACGAAGTTTCTTGAAACTGTGTCGTTCGGATCATTTTTCCAGACTTCAGGTCCATTCTCATGGAATAGGGCCCTAGAAATTAAACTGTTTAATCAAGATTAAGGGCGATCCAAAGGTTAGGCTATTTTGTAGCCCAGAAGCAAGCGAAAGGCTGGTATACTAAGATTTACTTTGAAATTTCACTTGAACTTTCAACTTTTCAGCTCTTTAGAATGGGGAATGACAGTTTCTAGCAAACAGCAGGCGGAAAAGGGGTGCGGAATCTTTTTACCTGCTTGATTTTCGACTGCTCCAGAGACACTGTGCCATCTTAATCCCAGTCAACCTTCTGGTCAGAAAACATGAATTAAGGGATTGTCTGTCTCATACCATGAGGACGCACAAGTTTAACCTTCCAGATTTTGAATTAAACAACCCGCCATTGCGCTTTGTGGTAAGGGCAAACTTTTCGTTCAGTCTTTTCGTAAGCAAGCGACTTCAAGTGAAACAAGTTTTCCCCGGTTTCAAGGAAGCCGTATCCTGATGTGACTTGTACGTGGTGTTCTTTTCCCAGAGAGGAGGTACATTTTAAATTACTTGCTGAAAACTGCTAGAGCACTTGAACAGATTACAGGACTATTTTATACCCGTTGCAAGCCAATCGAAGCATTTTTGTTACATAGCAATTGGCAAAGAGTGTACTTGACCCAACTTATTGCTTCCTAAGGTATTCCTCGTCTTGCTGCTCAGCTGGACATGCTGACTGACAAATCCCTTACTTGGAAGGTGAGGAGGATCCCAGTTAGCACCGGTGCAGAAATTTCTGCAGAATGTCTGCACCCGGGTGCGGACATTTCCGCACAAGTTCCGCAGATTTCTGCACCCGGGTGCGGAACCAGTGCGGAAATGAAACAAGTTTCCGCACAATATCCGCACCCGGGTGCGGAAATTTCCGCACAATATCCGCACACTTCCGGACCCGGGTGCGGAAATTTCCGCACAATATCCGCACACTTCTGCACCCGGGTGCGGAAATTTCCGCACAATATCCGCACACTTCTGCACCCGGGTGCGGAAATTTCCGCACACTTCTGCACCCGGGTGCGGACAATCCGTACCCAGTATCGGGACTTCCGCACCCAGTCCGCACTTAGCTAAGTCGTCCAACGCGCAAATATAGCCCATTATACGGATTTATCTCTTTCCCCAGTACGATTCAGTAACATCGTAAACACTAAGTGATAGCCCACCTGCCCCCACATAATTGCTCAGCGTATTACCTTTCCGGATATCAATAAGCGCCTTCAAGTACAAATGTTTTAATGAGTGAATTATAAAAAATACAGGGGGAAGATCATTTGTCACTCTTGGTGGCTCTCTGCAGGCGTTTCCGAACTTTCTGCCGTTCGTTCTCCAGCCAGCGATGAACGATTTCCTTTACTTGTCGCGGATTTGTGTTCGGAAATTTCTCAGTTGTCGCGTCTGTAATGAAGAACATAGTTATTGAGTTTCATCCAGACACTGATTCAACTAGCTAAATATAAAATAACAATTGACTACTTACAAATAAGTCCTTGGGCCAGCCTGGTTGACCCGAAGGCTTCTTTGTCATTTATTCCGCGCCAGTTGAGTAGTACGGCCAGCCTTGGAGCCAACGTCCGCGTAAGCACGTTGGTCAGGTACACTTGTACATCGCCAGCCTCCTGCAAGAGCCACCTTTCCACCTTTGTGAAATCAACAATCGTGACTACAACTAATACTTACCAGCTGTGCATAGCGTGGACCATCTCTTAGATGTTCCTCATACTTTTGGAGATCATCCATGGATGAAAGCGGAAGAGGGGGCTCGTTGAGTGCCTCAGAACTGCTAGTGGGTACTAGAGCGTCTATCTTCATGTGCAGTCTTTGGAGCGACGAGTAAATCTTCTCTAAATTCTCTATAAAATAGTTTAATTAGAACATGGTAATCTACTCACTGAGAATGAGGTTGGCCAGATCCGGGGAAATTACGCTGGCCTTGGGATTTGGAGAGTTAGTTCTAGAAAGTAAAGTACATGGAATGTTGAGAAAACCTGGGGATCGGGGTAGAACTGCGTGGTGCTGGATCGCCCACGGCGGGAAGTGTTGTATACGTGGAACTGCTGATAGATTATTTGATGGTGGTAATGAAATAAAACGTACGTTCCACATATCATCGGGGCATCACGAGGGACGGGTGGCGCGTCTCGAACAGGAATGAGACTACTAATCGTGGCAGTCGGATTGGTACATCTGAAAATGAGGATTTTACAAATTGAAAAGTTGGTAGGTGCGGGAGGACCTACAGTCTTTTTGGAGTTGGTGGGCTTATGACTATGTTCGCAAACAAAGTGGTGTCACCACTGGAATCACGATCCGACCCGTCTGTAAAATCAGACGGCAGCCGTTTCTTTGCACTACAACCATTGTAATACGATTCGTAAACATACTGTTTTTGCCTGGATTGACGTACCAGCCGTTCATCGTTTTGCTCCGCGGAGGAGGTATGCCCTGAGTCAAGGGCTTCTGCTGAGCACTCAGTGCATCCGGAAAAGTTTCTAGAACATTTTTAACTGAAAATGAACTTACTGCACTGCCGATACACTTCGTACGTGCACGACTTGAGTGGACATTTCGGCAAAGTACCCTTCAGTAAGTTTGCATAAAGAGTGCTGGTTGTGCACGAGGGCCAAAGGACTGAATCGGGCGGTACGAACCACGATTCATGCACTATACCAACAGAGTTGTCCGCAAATATGAGCACAGCGTACATGGCTGAAAAACAACTTCCAAATACGACATTTAACAGCAGAATATCCACATGCAAACGGAAGCTTTGATGGAATAACATAACACCAACATAAATATGTATATATATTTTACGAACTAATGAGTAAAACAAGTAATAAATGCATACATGTGTCGAGTGACAGTGGTAAGATTACTGACTAATCGATGAGGGTATGCAAAATGGGGAAGTATATACGAGTGTCTGTGCGGGAAAAACTTAAGCATTTACAAGATATTTGGTCGACTGATGCAAACAGCCGAGTGTGTTGCAAGTCGGAGCATTGAAAAACTAAGACGTCCGTCGAAATCAATACGTGAGTGTAAAACGGTAGAACAGTTTTGAATTTCTGGTACACAATAGTATCTTTAGAAAAATCTACAATGACAGCTGGCTGACCATCAAGCAAAATGCAGTTGTCGGGAAAGTTTTTCGAAAAAACGACATCCCTATGAATAAACCTGCGACATCCGGCAGTGGCCGATGGCCTCAGTCGCAAACCAACATCATCCAAAAATACCTTCCTTTCGACAGCATCCAATCCCACACGCTCGGACAGTCGGCGGTAAAGCTGAACGGCCGGTGGTTTTGGACCATGTATGTAATGCTTCAAATGACCCAGCTCCGATTCATAGGGAAAACAGGAAAAACGATCCAAGCAACCATAAAGCTTGACGAAATTGAACAAATGGGAGAAGAGGTGTATGTTGTACACTAAATGGCTGGGACCAAAAATAGCAGCAAATTTTGACACAGCAACCTTGGAAACATCAATTAAAAAATTAGCATAATGTTGTGAAAAAAAGGTGAACAGCCTATGAAAGTGGTTACCGAAAAATACATGAAACATTCGTAAACGTCAGGATGTAAGATGTCTCGTAAAACAACGGGTCCTATGTACAGAAGAAACTGTCGTAGCTCAGATGCCTTCCACCGATCCAGGTCTACGACACCTCTACATTTTCGGGTTAAATCAATACTCAGAGCCAAACTCTGTTGCTCAATGTTATCATTCAGCAGATTCCAGGACTCCAAAGAAAGCCTGGCCTTGTGTCCAATTGGCATAGCTCTGAGTAAGATGAGGAATTTCCGCACTAAATCAAGACACACTATGCATGTAATCTGATGGGAAACCAGCAGTCATGGAAAAATTTAACTCCTCCGTCGGACTTGGACCAGTATGGTGCTTCTCTTACTTTCTGGTCCGGAAATCAGAGTCACGACGCGAGGGAGCTGTCAACGAGGGAAAAGTTATACGTGTGCCAATGTACACACCCTTTCGTGTACAATAATCACAGCCATAATATCCCGTATGTCCCTTCACTTGCTTCAGAAAGGCCCTAGCAGGACTGTCCCAAATGATGCACTGAAGACGGACGGTGTGAATATTGTAAACCCCGGAGACACCGTACGCCGAGACGTCCGTCAACTCAGCGACCGTGTCAGACAACAGCTAATGAGTACTGTTGGGTTTTTGATTACCACAGTAACTCCAACGATGAATATTGTAAACCCCGGAGACACCGTACGCCGAGACGTCCGTCAACTCAGCGACCGTGTCAGACAACAGCTAATGAGTACTGTTGGGTTTTTGATTACCACAGTATACTCCAACGATGAAAGTCTGACCGAGAAAGGGTGAAATTATGCGGGAGAGTATAGGCCACACTTGAGTACGCAAGTTGTTATAGGCCCGAATACTGTCAACGTTCATTTGAATATCGATATTTGTAGCCCTAGTGTGGATCTCACGGAGCTGTTGCAGCAAACCTGCTTTCAACCCAAGGTGGATGTGCCTCCCACCACCGTATATGCGCGAATCTTTTCCAGATAAGCCCGGTCAAAAAGTGCATGCGAGAAAAACTAAGCCCCGCTTTTGGCCACTTTTTGCCAGCTCCAGATTAATGTACGCACACAACGTTGACCTATTTTTGATGAAAGCATTTCTTTATCCGCATCTGGGCTCATTTTGTGCAAAGGTTTTCTCCGTTCGGACGTAAAGCCTTAAACGAACTTTCTGACGCTTTGAACGCTCGTCCATGACAAGGGGACAGCAATACGTTTTTTTGCAAAGCCATGGAGTAATCCATCAACAACCTTTATGCAAAAACAGTTTGAACTGTGGAGGTATAATGGCCAGCAGTTTCGGCAGCAAATCAGCCTTCGGAAGGAAATTTGGCTGGAGTGGAGTTTAGGGCAGTAACTCTATTCATTTACTGCTGATCCAAAAATTTGGCAAGAACTTTCTTTGCGAAGTTTGCGGCTGGCGGCTTTTGCAGACTTTAAAAGTTATCAGCGGCACAGGTCTACATGTCGGGATCGATGAAACGCTAATATCTCGCCGTAAAAACCACACAGTGCGAGTCCTTCCCCAGCAGTGGATTTTCGGAGGGATCTATCTGGAAACTAAAGAGGTGTTCATGTACGCAGTGCCAGATCGAACTGCGGCCACTTTGCTGGACACAATCCAGGCCTGCATCGCTCCCGACTGAATCATCATCTCAGCTATGTGGGTAACATACCAAGGAATTGAAACGATGATTGACATGAACTATATTCAGGCAAAGTTACTGAAAACGGAACTTTTCATGCAAATTATTATTGACATGTCCCAATTTCACCCTCTTCGATAGAAACGAAAAAAACTACTTTCACATCCCTTTTTTTCTAATCTTTTTGTGGGTGGCAGAGGTTAATTTTTTGGCGGGGCTTATCTGGAAAAGATCCATATGTGTTTAAATTCTGAGAAAGCGACGATTATTGCCTAGTTGTTTCGTACATATCGGCTTAAAGGTGTCGAATGCACAAAAGCAGCGTGTGAATTTCGAATAAAGTTTTACTTACATTAGCGTGACTGACATAATCGCTATGACACTCCCGGCAGCGTTAGTAGCGGTTGACTTTGAAATGTTTCAACTCTGATAAGGATTATGAGCTCCCAGAAATATTTGTCTGATAAGGAAGTTATTCTTACTGCTCTGGATGAAACTGGCTTAGATTTGTAAACTTACAGTGCGTATGAATGTCCATGTGCTTAATATATAGGCAAAGAAAATTGGGAAACAGTGACTATCATAGAATGAATTGCCAAACAGTCCCTACGCGGCGTACAACATTTATCGTGTTGGGACTTCGAAAAGCTATTGACCATTGCATGGTGATAAGCATATGAAACAAAAGGAAGACATGGAATTTTTCAATTGTACAGTCAAAACAGCACAGTGGAATACGTTGTTGTAACCCAACGTTCCGATTGCCGTTGGTAAACTTTCTAAATGATTACTACAATCAACTGACAAATCTGAAATGTCTGCTGGTGTCAGTTTACCCATCGATTAGTCATTCCATTCTTTGATGGATTACTTCCAATCGCAAATTAATGCTGCTCAGGATTAATACATCCGACTTGTGCATTGCATCCTTGGACTATAGGGTTTATCCTGGAACCTAGAGAAGTTGAGTTAATATAAGGATGAATAAAAGTTGTGAGCCCACTGTCTTCATCCCATAAAACGGAAATTTTTAATAATGCGGCAATGCTTTTACAACTGTGTCAGTATAAACCTACACAATCATTTTAAATTGATTGCATATAAATAACAGTATGGCCAAAATAATGGCCGACAGTCTGTAGTCAAATACATTTATCCATCGGTAGGACAATCGAAACACATCACCAATAATGACACGGAGAGCGACATTCAGTCAGGTTGAATGAGACGAACGCATATGAGGAATATTCCAGCCAGATACCTTTTCATACAATTAGAGGGACCTGATCCAGGGTCGTGCAAAACAATGCGCACCATAAGTTAAAAGTTAGCAAAGATTTGCCTGTACACTGGCGTATTTTCACACTGGACATTAACTGAAAATTGTAGTAGAACAGACGGAGCTCTGAATAAATGAAGACTTACCACTGTCCAGAAGCTTCATGTGACTGAGATCCAACATAATTATCCCCACTCATACACGGTACGTTTAAGCGGTTTTGAGTTAGCTGTAAGCACGTCTTAGGCCTGAAGTTAAAGATGGAAAAACGTGCGAACACTACTGTTTACGCACAAACACCACTAAGTATACAGTATAGTTTTCAATGAGTATGAACTATATACTAAAGAGCAATACTTATTTAGGAGTCTACTGATACTACCATTCGTTTGTAAAAAATCCCTTCAGAGAAGAGTGCACCTCGAAATTTACGGAGCCCACCTACTGAGAAGTGTTTCACAGAGGATCAGGCCAGCCCATGGCCAAGTGATCTGAAGCGCTTGATTAAACAATGAGTGACCTTTTGTCCAGTCCAAGTGCCAGACAGTCACACTGCTGATCAACCAAATTGTATATTCTTTAACTAATTGTCGGGAGCTCGCCGCTTCGTATCTCGAGGGTGCCTCCTGCTTATGATTCACAACAAGGACGAAACATTTTTAAAGTGCTTCTCAACTTCTCAGTAGAGCTTGATCCATTTTAGGATGGACCGTTCAACAAAATTTTGGTGCCGTTTGAACAACTTGACCAATTTATGCCAAACCTGGCAATGGATAACTCCCACATCTTCACTGATCGTATTTATTTAACAATCACACCAAAATGTTGTTTACGGGGCAAAAGGATTCAGCTGCATACCATTAAACTCAATTAATAAGCGACTAAGAATTCGAGGCGACCATTGCGTTGCGATACATTTGAACATTGTATATGACTACGTTAACGTTGAAAAAGAAATGTTTCTCAAACGTAGACAAGACTGACATCTTATGGCGAGTACTCTCTAAAGCATTATCAACCAAAAGTCCTTTTTCCGCATATGAATTCGTTATTTTGTGACAGTGTTTCAAAACACTAGGGAAAATGATATGGGGAAAACGGATATTTCGAAAATCCCAGCCAAACGGTTCAAATAAGGTGAACGAAAAGTTGGTTCTTGTAGAGGACACAGTCCTGCATATTAAACAAGTATTCCGCAAGACAAACTACCTCGGAGGTTGTCGCAAGTCGCATGTACGTATTCAGTTCCCAAGATGTTTCATCATAACCTGCAAGGGATTACAGTTCTCATCCAAGATCTGTGTTTTCGTTGGGACTGTGTGGCTGTTTTTTTGCTTCAAAGAAACATAGTATATGTTTTATATTTACTGGCGCCGTTTTAATCATACCGATAAGACATTTTTAGACCAGCAGCAACAACCGAAAGGTTACTCATTACCAAACTTAGAGTAAATCTGTATTCATTTGAAAATGCTGCGCACTTTGTTGCACAGATCTCCAGGTTAGTTGCTCCACGCAAACTAACATGAAGTTTTCTGAAATCGGGTAAACTTTCTGCTTGTGAGCTTTCGTTTTGGAAACAGCGGAAGGGGTATCAAAAGAAAGTATGTGCCAACTGTTCACCCTCGACGAATCAGGACAGTCTCGACTGACTGAAATTCAGAAATGTCATATTGTCAACAATTTATAAGTAGCTTGGAAGAAACATCAATCCGCAAGTCCGTCCGATAATTCTTCTCAGGAGGAGCCAGTCAACAAGGGACCATATGAGTTAAATATCGTAGTATGTATCTGAGTGCAGGTTAATCACACTTTATTTGCTCGTCGCGGCCGGACAGTTTGGTCTCCAGCTTTTACACAGGTTCGAAACGCCTTGACGATTCATGGGATGCGTAACAAATGTGCACTTCTTTCAGGTTTTCCGGAGTAGTTTGTTTTCACTTGCAAGAGGAAATTCCGGTTTAAATAAGAAGAAAAATATTTCCAAATCACGTAATTTATGTAAAGAACCCCATTAGCCGCGAATCAGTCGATCAGTTAATCAAGTTAATCAGCTAACCTGTTTATCGGTTAAGATTTTGTTATTTGAAACAGTATACAATACGATTCCACCGAAAAAATGCGGCTTTCAAAATGTAAATGAGTGTATGCGGTTATCCATGTGTGAATACAAAACTGCAGACGTTTTGCACTTTTATACAGCTCCAACCATCCACGGAATTCACAAAACAACCAAACCAAAACAAGCTGACAAACTTTCGTTCAAACCCAGTTGGAATAAGCCACTTTGTAGTGATCTGTTGGTAAATTTGATCCTCTGATATAAACGGTGTCATTTTTCTAGTGGAGTTGAGTTCCTGTGTGAACACACAAGAAGCAATCAGCGAAGTCACAACTGTAACCAGGATCTAAGCCAACAGGGTTGGTAGTGAAGTTCGAGGCCATAGTTAAGGGATAAATCATCGGGAAAGTTGTTTAAAAACAACCGCGGTACTTTTGGTGTTGTGCGATAAATCGTAGACAATGAGCTACCGAAAACATTCCAAAAATTTTTAAGCAATATAAGCGATCTGTAATATGTTTAATATTTTGCGTACAAATACTAAGAAGAAAACAGGATAATATGTGTCAGTCTGTCAATGGAAACCGAACTGGATGAGGCGAGTTTTAACAGCTATGTTCTCACAAAGATCGAAATTAATATTTGGTTTGTTTTACCTTGATGATGTTCCACACCTGCCATTTGGAAGCCAATATTATAGTCGCTGACGGCGGTGAAATTGATTAACTCTCAAATGCCTACAACCACGNAACTCTTAGGGAAAGATGGAAAGAAATGGAGAGATAAGGACTTGGTACGGATTCCCTCTGTGGACTTAAAGATGACATTCAACAGTAATGCCCCCATAGTTTTAAGAGTCATTAGAATAAACACATCTGAGCACTGTGGAGATTTCGTCCCGCAAGTGAAGCCAATGTATGCTGAAAAGCTGAGAAGCACTGTGCAGCTGTTTCATCCTTATTGGAAATCATCAGCAGTGCGCATCTCACGAAACTCCGAAGTCCCGAACCTGCGACCTCAAGGCTAGTAGTTTGAACACTTAACCGTTCGGCCACGAGTGGCTGAGCATTATTTCTAATCAGGAATCCATCTGGCGGATTGCACACTCCAAAAAATATGAGCGCGGGGTACAACGACAAGCTAAATGTAGCTAAGCCGTCCGGCTAGGACTGCACCACGGGGATCAGCAGCCCTTCATTTTCCTCAGGGTTTCTACCATGTACAAGCAAGATCACTTTCTGCGAATCATCGAGTTGGATCAATACACTCCAGTAGGTGAGCTTTTCCTAGAAGCTCATCAGCTGACGGACAGAACAACCACTAGGAACTTCTTAGAGGATGGAACGACTGAGCATCAGAATCCACTGGAATGTTAGCAAAATATAGGAAATTGAAATCATGAACTGTTCGCAATCAATTGGGCCACAGATTGTTCGGGGGCGCAAGTGAAAATCTTTATCAGTGATTTCAACAGACGAATGGATAGCGCTGAATACTACTTACTGAATGGCTCTTTACAAGATACAGCAAACCTATACATAGCTGTGGTTTTAAGTTTGACTTGATGTATTGGAATTTTGCAGCTTTTCAATGATAGAAGCTTTATGAGGAAGATTTTAGCATTTGTATTTTTCTAAATTGAATGGAAATATTTATGAGAAAGGGGGGCTCCATGTACGCTTTTAGCATAGAGAGAATCTTCTAATAAACTACCGCTCTCTTACCCAACATGATTATTGTAAGATAGCTTACGATTGTTTGATTTAGTCGGAATACCGGAAGCCAGCACATTCACTGCAGAAAAAAAGCAAACCACCCCGCTGAACCTCTGTGCGATTGTCCATGACCCCTTAAAACTGGAAACTTATTATTCTGATGCAAACAAAGTGTCCACAAGCATGCACGCTGTCGAAGACTTCTCGTGCTTTTCAATACACTTGTCATCCTTAGTGCTGCGGCTGATTCCGCGCTTACTGATGTGATTGGTTGATAGCATTTGCGGGCTTTTCCCGGGTTCACTTAAAATGACAGCCAAGTCAAAACCGAGGAAATCAAGGATGGACATGCATAAGGATGCGGTAACCAAGATCGTCGCTTGATATCTCCATGGAAGCAGTGAGCTCACGTTTCCGTACATCTTGCATGACTTCTATTTTATGGCTGCTGTTCGGCAAATTATGCATGGGTTCTGAACGACATCGAGTTAGCGACTGTGCAACTACACGAACCTAGACAGGTATATTTGAGCCGCCGGAGACTATCACGCCTTCTTTTCTATCAGGCAGACGAGCCGTTTCATCAGTGTTAAGAACAGCGCACCGCGGGCTGTGAGACGCGGAAGTAGGACGAGCATTTTAGTACATTTTTTACAACAATTCTTGTCCATAAATTTGATTTACATCGCACCTTTTAGTTTCGGATATCTAGGTCCGGCATCAATGGACATTTCGGGCGTACTCAAGCAAGTAGTTTTTGTAGTTTGTATGGTCCACAGAATAGTTTCCGTAAGTTAAATTTATTCTTCATGCTACACCTTACAATTCGATGTTGTGCCTGGAGTTTCGTAGGTTTAACATACGCTCATATTCTCCAAAAATAGTTTCAATTGGGAAGCGAAAATTGTTATTCTCAAAGTAGGGGAAGTTCACAAATTACAGGCATGATAACTGCAAGGTAAAAACTCTGTTTACACATGAGAAAACGTAACACAGCCAGTCGCATCGAATTGAAATTTTTTTTCCAAATTTCCATGGAGTTAGTTGACCACTATATCTTTTCAATATGGACAGGCATGTGAGAATCCATTTTTCATATATAGTGACAGCGTCAGTTTCAGTTCCAGTCGAAAAAGTCGCAGGTATCATAAGCTACCACATTACTCATTACTGAATGACATCTAATCGCGCATACAACGGATGAACCCGTTAGAAGAAGCACGATGAGTAAAAGTTTACCGGGTTTCAAATATTACTTTCATCTGCATATGAGGGTCTTGTTTAAGAAATCGTTTCACATTCAAGCAGTCTATAATAAACTTGATATTTGAATTACCTTCCAGAGCACTGCTTTGGTCCAATTATCGTGTCAGTTAAAAATTTGCTATACATTTGTTATACATTAATAAACGAAGACAACCTGTTACGCACCCAAGTGAATTACTTTGTCGTCGTCGGCACCAACAATCACGAATGAAAGGGCAAGAGCTGGATTTTGTAAGCTCTGATTGGAACCATTGAGAAAACTTATTTATTTGGGGCGCAAAGAAGCTGTATGTATTTACAGGTGTTTACAGTAGTGTTTCTACAAAACTTGATGATGCAGGAATTCAAACTAAGCCAATAATGTTTGATTGGATACCAGATATCACAAAATTCACAATGTTAAAACGTTATAACGAACACTTTCAGCTTTGAAGAAGCAAGTACAGTTTTGAGATATGATTGCTTGTTCGGTAGCATAATTCTACCATCGGGAAGAAACTGAAATTTATCGTAGTATAACACTTTGCGTGCCTCTACGACCCAATAAGACAAAATGGAAGAGGGTGTTCGTGTAATGCTCACGGAAGGGTCTCGTGAACACAGTCTCCTGGATCTCCATGCCGGGGGTTGAAACAGTTAGTGATTCCTTCTGTGAAAATGGTAATCCACCTGCATTCCCCTCAAAACCTAGCTGCATTGTGGTCAGGCTACTGAGACGAAGGCTCAGGTTTAGGACCCTAATCATCCTGTTGTCTAGGTCCGGGCATCCTACCAGTATTCCAGCCGGCGTACAAGGATGATTCTCATGACAAACAATACTCTCTTACCACATCGGCTTTTATATTGTCTTAGCAGTCCATATAAACCAGTCCAAAGAGAAAAATCCACACACGTTTAGTTCATTAATCAAATCAGAGATAAGAATATCGACCAACATTGTACGTTCCTTCTTGTTCTTAAGTACCAATGTACCACCCAGACAGACTAGACTGAGTGAAATGACAACAATATGAGAATCCTTATCATAAGCCTCAAAAGTAGCGTTTATTTGCATTTACAACAGTTAGGTGTTTCTCTGGAAGACAGAATTGCGATGGGATCTCCTCTAGTCTCATGCTGACGGATTTTCACCTGATCAAACTTAAAACTCAAGAGCTAACTACGTTTAATATACAGTTTATACTACACGGTTGCTCCATGAACGACATCTTTGGACTCACGGATGCAATGTTATTTCAGTAGACCTGCTAGGTAGTTTTATTCCAGTCCATAATAATATCACTCCACAGAATGGAGGTTTAAGGTACATTGATATCAGTAGTCAGATGAGGGTCAGCAGGTGCATAGAGCCCAGTGTTTATGGAAAGTAAACATGATCGGGCTAGCACGTTCACTAAAAATAGATTAGTTCCCTTCCAACAGAAACGCAGCCTATTAAGGTGTTTGTCTAAGAGGGCCATGCGTAATTGGTTAAGCAGGGACAGACCATCTGTGAAACAAGTTGAGAAGAGGCCTGCGTACATGAGAGCCATCATTCACATGTGTTTTCTCAGAACTCGTAACACCTGAATTCTAGTTCACACATGATCCAATGCTATAGACTAGGTTGACGATAACCCGATTTGCTTGAAACCATAACTCACTGGTCGTGATGTCCTTTAAATTCTTGATTTTTAGGTCAACACTATCAAACGCAGAACAAAGATTATGTTTAGTGTTTTGAACCTTTCCATGAAGTTGGAAGAAGTTGCAGAACTCCCCTGGTACTTATAAAGGCACATAATTCAAGATTGCGCACCGTTTGATGTGACAAGTTGTCGACAGGCGTTTAGTAAAAATGTGATTTGACGCCCTGATAACGGGCTGAATCAACGCACAGTTCTTGATTCCGTTTCTTTTGCACTGACGGCCGGTGTGTACTTTTCACCAGTTGGCCCACAGTGTCAGTGAAACATAAAGGTGTTAATTTATTTGTGATCGTGAAGAAAGATTGTTAGCACCTTGATATCTGGTGTAGAAGAAAGGTTGGTGATTCAGGCGTGGAAGCTTGTTTTTGACTTGTGCGTGTGTAGCGTTACCAAACGACGGATACGTGAGCGAAATCTCAACCGTTGCTTCAGTTTTGACGGAAAGCCAGCAGGGAAAATGCATCATCATGCGAGAATGACTGTATTAGCCAAAAACCAGAAACAGTTTCAAAAAGTCTGTTTATGGCCCAGTTTAACTCAAGCGGCATTCATTATAGGGAGACGCCAACCATGAAATCGTTTGTAGGATGATTAATAGGTTTTTCGCATGCACTACTACATTCAACTACTCGACGGAAGCATTCCTCTGATAAAAAACCCAACCAGATGGAATTTTAGCCTCAGGAGAATAGACGTGCATATCTTTCTGAGAAGCAACAAACTACATTAATTTGTTCATCAAACTCCGTGAATGTCGGGCGTTCGTTGAGTCTGGGGACTTCCAAGTAGGATATCTATAAAGAACTTCAGTTATTTTCCGAATTAATCTGAATGGTAATTCGGTTAACGAATTACAGAATTCCCAAAGGAAACTCACTTCAAAAGAGTTTTTTGTGGTGCTTTCGTCGAGAAACGTTAGCAAGAACCGGAAGCGAAAAAAGTCCAAGTCCCAAAATAGTTTACTTATTGGTTGGCAATTAACAAAAAGACAAGAAATTGATTCCTGATATTTCGCACAAACTTTTCAGGCATAATCAGCCGGAAAACTAAGCGTGTTGTTAGTTGTCCAATAGTTTCGACTAAACACTGTTTGTCGGAGAACGTCATATGTGCAGTTTGAATTGATGGCTAGTGGGCCAGAACGTGAAACAAAACAATGCATTTCAAGTCGATGTTTATTGAGTTCATAATCGTTAGATTTTAAGCAACAGTAAATGATGTCGATGAAAATGATTATAGTCCCTAAGACAATAGTGCATACGTAGGAAGTGGGAAACACAGGGGGCATTCCCCAGTGTGATGCGAAACTGTGACGCCTCACCTGTCAACCTAGTGAGTACACTTGCCCACGTTGTATTCACTCATGTAAATTCAAATTTTTTCTGGTGAGTTCTACCCAACAGATGGCTCAACAGTTGGGGGCTAGTTGAACATGGATGTGGACTGAACACAAACGTGGATCACCTTTGCCCACCCGATGTTAGCTGCCAATTTATGTGCATCAGTTAAACTCAGATAAATAAAATCCAAACGGTCTGGTCCTTGCTCTTAAATGAGCATAAAACCCAAAGAACAATACTTTTGTCGCTCGTTGTAACTTACCTTG